TTGTTCTCTATTTGAATTAGTTAAGCTTTTTTTAATCCCTGGTTTGGGGCATACTTTGTAAGCACTTTTAGACACTTGGGAAAACAATATTTATTTCCCAGTGAGCTCAGATTTTTTCATTCTGACAGCCACGTGACGTCTATTAGCCAAGTGCCAGAGCTGCTCATGTAGCCCACTGAGGAGCTCACTGCAAAGCTTCAGGGGGGTTAAGACACCCAAAATGCCTTGAAATGGTTAAAGCTGCCTTGGTGCTTTCTATGCCAGCCCTGCTGTATGATGCAACACCGCTGGGCCCTCAGTGCCTGCTATAAATAGCACATTCAGAACAGATTAGCTGGAGTTGCAGTTACTGGTTCAGAGCATCCTGATCAGAAATACCTCCAGTTCTCAGCTGGGCCACCGAGATGTCATTGTTTCACGGCTCAGTGCAGGATCCCTGACCACACAGAATGTGGCTTGGCTGCCAAACCTCGGTGCCCAGGCTGCCCCAGCGAGGTATTTAGTGCAGCTCTATGCCCGCCGCAGCTCACTCGCTCCTCTCCCGCGCTTCCCGTGGCCTGTGACTGTCAGAGCACACAAGTTCAGCCCCTGCTGGAAGTGAATCAAGCGCTGGAAATAGAAGCCCAGTGGGGGAGAGGCTGCACACTGATCCAGGCTGCAGGAGCTCTCTGGATCAGGAGGCAGATCCTCTGCGTTTGCATGTCTAGGATGAGTAATCCTCGAAGTTATGACTTGGAGGGAACTGCAGCAGCTCAGGCCTAAATGTAAAGCTCCCTGCTAGGAGGATGCTTTAGCAACCATATGTCATATGCTGCCCTTAGCTGAGAGCTGAGCATCCCTGCTCTGGGGATTGTCTGCCCTGGCCATATCCAAGACTAAAATTAGCGGAGGGCTGCGTAAATTGTGAGCTGTGGCTGGTTAGTGCTTCCTTGCCTGGCCTGCAGCGAGTTGCCCCTATTTTAATACTAGTTCAGTGTTTCCTCTAACAGGAGACAATAAATCCAGTGAGGGAGAACCAGCAAAGCTGAAAACCCGCGGTGCTGGGTCTGTCTGAAGGCCCACAAAGCAGTCTGGGATGCTGCTGGTTTTGACGTGCTGCCGGGGGTTCACTGCTGACAGCAAATCCTGGTGGTTTGCCTGAGCAGTGAACTCTTGAAGTGATGACATGAGAAGTCCAGGCTGAGTTTCATTGCAGGCTGGGGCACAGAAGAAGGGCTTAGGAAACAGCTGGATTACTAAGAGAACAAACCCTGAGACAAAAGGTTCATATGAAGCCAGCACAGGCAGACTGACCAAGCCAAAGCACGTGGGTTTGCTTGGCTCCTGCATAAATAATTGTTTTGTGCTCAGAGACACAGTGAAGAGCCAAAGCACTTGGGGCAGAAGGTGTAGTTAATCTGTAGTGCTGGTACAAATGTTCTGGCAGCTCTGGAGTGCAATCTGCTCTCCATGGTAGCTGGGAGAAGTACACAAGGTTGAAGGAGGCAAAACTTGCTTGGTTGGGCTCCAGCCACTTCCTCACATTTCTCAGGAAGGACTTTCAGATCTTCAGTTTTGCGTCCAGCTGGAATTCCACAGGTAGGTTTGCCTCAGCCACCAGGAAGTGCTTTCAGCAGCACAGCACCTCTTATTGCTCTGGTAACAGTGTTTTCCAAGGAGAGCAGCCGTAATTACAACTTCAGCATCCTTTTCTGTGCTGAGCCTGTTTTTTTGGTTGATACCTCTTGGCATTAAAAGAGATTTCCAGCATCTTTTTATAGGCTAGCAGACACCCTCGTTAAATTTGGTTAAAAACTAGATGTGGAAATAACTTATAATACTTGGTATTTTTAAAATAAAGAGTTCATTAAGGACCATATACTTTAAAAGGCCAGTCTTTCTGACAGGAAAAGGAATACTGATGGTAGATCCCTGAGTTCTGTTGATGTTGCATCAGAAAATGAAACTATTTAAACAAGTTCCACGTTGCTACAAATAACACTTTGTGTCTAAAGTAACACCTTGCAAAGCAACTTTTACCAATTTAAGTGTTCAAAGGCTCTTCCAACACTGCTGATGCCTGTATTTTTATCAGTGTTTCATTAGGGTGCTTTTGTTTCCACATTTAGACAAGCCTATACTCTCCTGTACATCCCTCAAGGTCGTTCTGAGAGCATTAATTACGGTGTAATGCTGGGATGGAGCACTGCTGTCTCCTGCTGTGCTGCACAATCGGCTTGCTGGTTCCACATCCAAGGGATGGATTGGGGTTGGTGCTGCTGCAGAGAGAGGAAATGGCATTTGGCAGAAGACAGGAGGAAGAGGAGTATCCTTTTCCCTTCGGTCTCCCACAGTGCACTAAGACCCAGAGCGTTATCACCACTCTCAGCTGACCTCCCGGGGTGTCTTTCGCTCTGTATTACATCCGTGCCGAGTTTATTTAAATTTGCAGCGCCAAGAGGTTAAAGCAGCCTGGATCCGAAGGTATAACCATTTAAAATAATAATAATAATAATAATAATAATAATAATAATAATAATAATAATAATAATAATAATAATAATAATAATAAAATAAAAGTCCGTGTAACCCCCGTTTCTTTGAGCAAGCTCTGCATCAGCTGGAGGGGAGCTCTGCCACTTCCCACAGCCCTGCCGTGGATCTGCATCCCTCCTGGCTTTGAGCCCCCAGGGGGGCAGAGGCACCTCCCGACCATCCGCGGCCACATTTCTGGGGGGTTTTAGCCATGGAACGGCGATAATTATTGCATTTTTAAGAGTTAAATATCGCCAAAGCTTATGTTCTGCTATAAAAACTAAAAGAGGATCCTATGTAAAACCTGATCAAAACACACACACAAAAAGGCAACCTCCCCTGAGGAAGCTAACAAACAAAAACCCACATTTTTTTTTTTTTTTTTTTTGGTGCGGAATGAATCTGCAGCTCGGAAAAGGCAGGACGGAGCAGCGCTTGGAGCCGCGCTCCCCAGCCCCTCGGGGCCTCAGCCCCGGCCAGCGGCAGCGGAGGCAGCAGAACCCGCACGGCCCGGGGGAGGGAGGGGAGGGGAAGGGAGGGGGGCGGCCAAGCATCCCCCCGCGCCGATCCTCACGGGGATCTCATCCCTCGGGGCACCCCGAGCCGGGGGCTGCGGCCCCGCGTGGGTCCGGAGCGGTGTCGGGGGCGGCGTCCAGCCCCGCATCCCCGTGTCCAGGCGGTCAGAGGCGGCGCGGCGGGTGCTCCGCAGCCCAGCGAGAGTTAACGGCGGCGCCGCCTCTCCATTGGCGGCCCCGCAGCCGCTGCGGGAGCCCCGCGCTTATAACGAGCCGCGTCCGCCCCGCTCCGCGGCCCGGGCTCCATGCGGCGGCCGCCGGCATGCCCGGCATGCCCAGCCTGCTGCTCGCCCTGCTCTGCCTGGGGGCGCGGGGGGCCGAGCGCGGCCCCGAGCGCGCCCCGGAGCCCGACGAGCCGTGGTGCCCCTACAAGGTGGGCGCGGATGGCGCGGAGGGGGCGCGGCTGTGCTTCCGCCCGCCGGCCCGCGGCTTCCAGTGCGCGCCCCGCGGGTGCCGCGCCCACCGCTCCGCGGGCGGCGCGCTGGTGGCCAACGTGCTGCGGAACGGCAGCGTGCTGCTGCAGTGGGGGCTGCGGCACTGGGGGCCGCCTCGGCCGCCCCCCTCCGCCGCCCTGCGCGGCTTCGCGCTCAACTGCTCCTGGGACGGCACCTACACGCGCTTCCCCTGCGACAGCGTGGAGCTGGGCGCCGCATGTCGCGACTACCTGCTGCCCGAGGCGCACGGCAGCGTGCGGTACCGCCTGTGCCTGCGCCCGCGCTACGCCCCGCCGCGCCCCGCGCCGCCCGCGCAGTGCGTGGAGTTCCGCGTGGAGCCCGCGGCCATGCGGGACATCGTCGTGGCCATGACGGCCGTGGGGGGATCCATCTGCGTGATGCTCGTCTTCATCTGCCTGCTCGTGGCCTACATCACCGAGAACCTCATGAGCCCCGCGCTGGCCCGCGCTGCCGCCGCGGCCCCGCGCCGCGCGTGACGGGGGATGCTGCGGTCACCCGCACGCCGTGCCAACACTCCCGGTCCTCCCACGCTCGGGGAAGGGAAGAGGTTTTCCAGACTCTTCTCGCAGCCGTTCCCCCAGACTTCCAGGATTTGGGGTTCACCACGCCCGCCGCCGGCCTTCCAGCGCGCGTTCC